GAAAAATGCAAGAAGAGTGATGTTTTGATGCATTTTATAAAGTTGTTGTGTGAATTACATTTTGTTTGTTTCTATTTAGCTTACAATTCTAACTTTGAGTTCATATAATTTTTTTTAACTTATCGAAAAAAAACTGCATAATACATAGAGAGTAGAAGGCCACATTTTGGTAGTTCGTCTAGGGCCTCCAAAATCTTAGGACCACCACTGCCTGCACATAGGGAGGCTATGCAGGCTTTAGGACAACGTCATTGATGCCATATACCAAGCTTGCTTTCTTACTCGTAATTTATTATACATTTAATTTATTAATTATTTGTTGCATTAGTTTTATATTTCATTGGTCAAGCTTTCCAATTTGTAAACTCATTGTCTATAGTGTAAATATTTTTACATTTAGTTTTACGGAAAGGAAAACTAATTTCTAATAACACAAGATTCCTCTAGTTTCAGCTTTGTATTTACGAAACAATGGTTATGTTCGTGGACACATGTCAAATGTTGAAAAGTTGGTGAGGATACACATTGGGTTAAAGTGGTGAGCATAAATGCTCTCTACTTAATAAACAAGAAGCAGCCCCAACGAGTACTTGGTCTAGTGGTACTTCTCTTCCCTTTGAAGATGCCCCAAAATGGAAACCACCCCCTAACCATCATGGGTTAATAATAAATAAAACATCTATAGGAATTAATGTTTAGTTATTTGAGATAATTAATATTGTGTTATGTTTAGACGACTTCACTAGAGAAATAGACGAAATGTGAAAATGGAATACATGCAATTGTGCTGAAAAGAAGCAGATTGAATATTGAAACAATCATGTCGGTGTTTTTTTTCTGTCGAAAACTTCATTCATTAACTATCTTCATTTGGTGGACATGGAAGACAATCCAAAACCATGGCATGCATAGACAACGGTGGTCTGTCATGTGTTTTTTGTTTTTATATAAGCGATAATCTACTTTAATTTAATATAAACTACGATGAGGGGGATTGAATTTGGGTGCAAAGTAAGGAGCACATCCGCTCTAGCCAACTTGGTTAAGCCCATGTGTACAGGTTTGTAGTGTTGATGTTGAGTCATTTGACCAACTAATAAATCAAATATTTTTATTTAACTTTTCTAATCAGTGTAAGAATTTTTCTTAGGTAGATCAGCAAGCAGCTGGGTAGAACCTCTTCATTCTAGTTACCAAAGAACCAAATTAAGAAAGTTGAATGGAATTTCTAAATTTGGCTCTTCTAAACCATAAGTTCAATTAAAGTTATACTACCAGCAATAACAAAAAATAACAATTCAGTTTTAATCCCTAGCAAAATTGCCTAAAATTAGCAAAGAACATCACATTAAATAGAAGGTTTCTCAATCTCGTAAGATTCATCTCCTCCAAAATCCTCTCCCTCTCATAGTCCTCATTATCCAAGTCTAGAGCCATTTGTAATTTGTTTTAAAGATCAAATGGCCATGTCCAAGACATTTACACTTTGCATTGTTGCTCTCATGGTGTGCTCGATTTGCAGTGAAACGACGAATGCAAAATATATCGGTTATGGAACAATAAGATATGATCACCATTTGGATGCAGGGGACAACGGTGCATGACTCCACCATCCAACTCTTATAATAGAGGTTGTGAGAATGTGAAGGAGTGCAGAGGTGGTGGTCGTAAATTAAAATGAGTCTTCCGAAGCACAACATATAACCAAGAAAGGGACACACCAAGAAATGGCACTTAAAACATTATAGAGGGATGCCTATTCTTTTACATAAATATATTTATAATACTAATCTTCATCTAGCCATATTGTGATAAAGGACAACATTATTTAATCAATTTCTAAAGAGTTCAACGTGTTGGCAATCTTTTTTTTAATAATTGATTGAAGTTTTTGTTTTTGTTTTTAGGTCACCATATGCAAACATTAAACTAAATTTACTTGCTCATACTCAGACATCTTAAGGTAAAAGAATAAATCTATTTGAGCAAGATATGTGACATTTTCAAAGGACCAATTTTATGCTAGTAACCCTAATTCTGTGAGAAAAGTAGTCAGCGATTTTGTTGACGAATGTGGTAAATTTATCATTCTCGATTATGAACACTTCATGTGAGATGATCTATGCATCGGAAATTTCTTTGTTGGTGCTATATAACGAACTCGTTCTCTTATGAATCTTTTAAACTGATAAAATACCAAAGCTACAACCTTTTGGTAGGTCTAAATCTCGTTTAATCTCGACAACATGTAACATTTGAACATGTCCAATAATGCAGTATTTTGTTTTTTTTATTGTATATTATATGAGTACAAATACGCATCTTTGAACTATTTTCTCTTGGTGGTATTTATAACACGATATTTTTATTTATTTTTTGTTGTCCAACCGATTGGGGAAAGGGGTTTGTGCAAATATTCTTTAGGTGCCTGGGGTTCGAACCTCTACCCACATGGATGGAGGTGGAAGAGCTCAATGACCTGAGCTATACCCCATTAGAAAACACGAGATTTACTATTAGCATATATTAATTTGTAGAGTTTGATATTTCCATCGATAGGATCGATCAGTTGCTTTGAATTTCTTGTAAGATTAAAGAAGAAGTCTCCTTGTCAACTCATAGTGCTACACTGTAATCAACTGAGTGTTATTCCATGTCTTTTCTATTTGTCTACGATCATGTAAATTTTTGGGCTGTTCCCTAGTAACTCAAATGAGAATCAAGATCATACCAAGGCTATAAATTCGGTTATTACGCTTATCCAAGTCTCAATGATTTATTATGTATGGGATATGTTGTATTTTGGTCAAAGGTGCCTAGTCCAATGCTTTGTTAACTCAGGATCCTCAAAGGCACCTACACATATTGCATAATATTATGTTACCCATATGTATATTTAGACTAACTTTTGTTATTGTAAAATTTTGAAAACCTTGAAGGGGACTTGGTCTTAAAAAGTTTTTCCAAATTTTGTTGTTTTCAATTTTTAATTAAATTTTAATTCTTTTGACCAAATTCCTCTTTATTTATTGTGGGGTTAATATATTAATTTTCAGTTTGTATTTTTATATTCAATGCTATAATGTTTTGTTTAGTGAGATTGGATGTCCGTAAAAGGATATTCCTCCACATTTGACACGCAAGTAGAATTTGATTCTCTCTACATCTCTTCTACTACTTTCATATGCATCATGTATTTTCTATTATTTATTTTTGGATATGTTCTGTGTCTTATTGGCACATATCCAACTTTGAACGTATGTGCTCATAATACACCTTGAGCATGCATATTCGGGATCGTATCTTGAATTCTGGTGGACTGTCAATACCTGCACCCTTAGTTTAGGTGGGCATGGCAGTCTCCTAGAGCCTCCACTCGGACCAGCGACGGAGAACACATGCCCGATGCGCTCCGTTGAGCCTCCTCACGGTCCCCTAGCTACCACGATCTGCCTGATCTAGTAGCCGCCACCCACTCGGCCTCACGGCGGGATTTGATGCTCTCCACCAAGACGGTGTTGTCACTCTCCATCTCGAGATTTCCGCTCACAACCATCTTAGCGTCACTGCCAACTTAAGCTCCATTGTGGAACAACTTCATTCATTCCCTCATTTGCCTCTGCGCTCAACGTACGCTCCCATGTACACCTCCAACGAAATCCTAGCCCATGTGAAATTGGGCTCCACACAATCTTAGAGTTGACCAGCTAGCTCAAAAAGTGGATGACCAAAACAAGTTGGTTGGACAGCTCCTCAACCATATTGACATGGTCTGAGACCTTGGCCTTGTATTGCAAGGCGAAGAGAGAATGATGGACAAATGCACCCACAGGCAGTTCGAGAGGTCCCATGCAGGTCGAGCAAGAGCAACCTAACAAGGAGAATGACAAGAGCGTGCTCAGCCCGTTGGCATGTAACAAGCATTCGCGAGCCCCACTCAAAGTAGATCGAGTCTCCAATCGAGATTAAGTCCAAGGATCAACATGAATGAAAGGTTGGGCCCACGATCCGATGTTCACGCTTGCATGGGCGCGCAAAGAAGCATTCACAATAGATTAGGCCCCCAAGGAGATCAACCTCACGATCATCCCCATGAAGTACGAGAAGAATGATGCCCACATGCTCTGTCCTAAGGAACCAACTCACGACGACAAGCTACAGAGGGTCTCTTGCAGGCTTAGTCTACCAACATGCTGCGTTGGCTGGACAGTTGAAGAGATCTACTCCGTAGAGACAACGAGGAGGTAAACCAGCGATACCCACATCATGGAGGACATCGACATGAACCGTAGAACATACAGGTAGAAAATGTTGAGAAGCTCATGAATGACTGACTTCAAAACTCGAAGATTAGGGGAGATCGAAGGGGATTCTTAACGCCTTCTTTCACACACTTCAAAGGGGATTCCAATTCTGAGAGCCATCTAAAGCACTTCAAAAGTCTTATGATTCTCTACAATGCCGAAGATGCACTGATGTGCAAGGTGTTTGCAATGACCTTGCAAAAAGCAGCCTTGGATTGGTTCCATACCCTGCTATTTAGGTTGATTAGCAACTTCAAGAAGCTAGCTTTCGTCTTCACCAAGGAGTACACTGCCTACCGGACGATCAAAAAACAAGCCGACCACATATTCAACCTGCGCAAGAAGCATGATGAGTCCCTCTGGGACTACATAAAAATATTCAAAGCGGAGAAAGCCAACATTGTGGGATGCGATGACCGAATCGCATCCTCTGCCTTCAAGAAGGGTCTACTGGCAGAGCACGACTTATATCATGAGTTGACTATCTCTCCCAATCAGACTCTGGCAGAGGTCTTCCTTACTACGGAACACTACGTGCTCTGGAACGACTATCGAATCGCCATAAAGAAGTCTACTAAGCAAGCCGAATAACCACCTAAGGAGGCAGGTTAGAGGGGCGATAAGCCTAGCAGTAAGAAACATGGAGGAAAGTGCAAGGCACCATCCCAAGGTGGTGCACCAGCAGATGAAGGCTATATGAAGTTCACCATCCCAATACATCAAATTTTGGCCCAAGTGAAGGATAAGCCCTGGTTGAGGAGATCACCACATTTGAAGGGAGATCCTAACAAGAGAAGTACCAACAAGTATTACGCCTTCCATGGAACACATGGGCATGACATAGCCAACTACCGATCTTGGAAGATGCACCTCAAAAAGATCATAAGAGAAGGTCACTGCACGGAGTTCATGGTTAAGAAAGCCATCCAGCAGATCGAGGATCGGGATGCCATCAAGGAGCCCCCACAGAAGGTCATAAAGATTAACATGATCCTACCTCACTCCAAGAAATTCGGACTGACCAGCAAGGAAAAAAATAGGAAGATTAAACATGCCATTGTTATCTCCCAAGTCTTAACTAGCTGCCCAACAATTGAAGACGGTCCCGTGATTGGCTTCCAAAAGAAAGATTTAAGTAGGCTTGATATGCCGCACAATGATGCCCTCATCATAAGCATCTAAATTGTGCAAGCCATGATCGACCAAGTTCATGTAGATAAGGGCAACGCAGCCAATATCCTACAATTTTCAATGGTCCAGTAGATAGGAATACAGGCCAAGATCAACTAGTCAACCAGGTCGCTGACCGACTTCAATGGAGCAACCATAATCACTATAGGAATGGTAGAGCTTGATGTCTACTCCCCACCACTGATCAGCGCTCAGACGTTCATGATCATTAACGAAGTCTCCCCCTACAATGGCATCCTTGGCAGACCAGGGATTGGCAAGATCAAAGCCATTACCTCTACCAGGCACTAGAAAATCCACTACCCGATCCTTGGGGGCGGTGTCAGCCAGATCAACAGCGATTAAGCGATGGCGAGAAAATGCTCAGCTCAGGGGCTGAAGAAAGGCAAGCAAGTGCAGTTCGTCCTTGTAAATCATGCATATCTGAATTGAGCATAACAAGCAGTGGAGAAAGCAGATCTTGTTCATAACGGTCGAGTACACCAAAACAGAAAGGGAATAGCGATTCCCCAATAGGAATTAAAGAATCATGACCAAAGAGGAATCCTCCCGGAGGTCTCCCCCGAAAAAGGATGGAAGCCCGAGGAGGACGTCAAAGTAATACCCCTTGATCCTGATAAGCCAAAAAGAAAAACATGGATTTCCTCGCGCCTAAGCCCATAAGTGAATGTGGAGCTTACAGCCTTCCTCAAGAACAACAAAGACGTGTTTGCTTAGTCACTATCTAACATGTCAGGCATAGATCTACAGATCATATGTCATCACCTTCATGTCAACCCAGCTATCAGACCAGTAGCGCAGAAGAGACGTAACTTCACTCCCAAGCGAGTTGCCATCATCAAAGCCGAGATTGACAAGCTCCTAGCTGCCGGCTTCATTAAAGAAGTTTTATACTCATAGTGGCTGGCCAATATTGTTTTAGTTGACAGGACCCGCCCTGGATTTCCTCGGAAACCGTGACGGATCCCGTCTGAAATTCCGACATCCCACAGATGCCGGGCCCTCTTACTATGAATCGAGACTTTCTACGAACCGAGACTTTCTACCAAAATTTTGTCAGAGTCTCCCCTGTAAAATGAACAAATCCCAAATTTCAAACCTGTCAAAAACACAGTTATTTACAACCCAACAGCCAGCATGCATTACACAAAGCATAGTGTTTACAAACCATGGCCTCCGGCCTCATAAATCAAATCCTAACAGGGCAATAACAAAACATGTCTAACAGAATTCAACAAACCAACAAAAAAAAAAAAAGAGTTTAACAAATTTACAGAGTATAGAAACTCTACGAAGGCTCGGTGTACTGAAGCTCACGATTCAAGAGCACACAACACAGCTCTGCTGCTCTTTCCAGTCAACTACTGGCTGTGGGGCGAAAAACATAAAATTGTGAGTGGACGAAACAAAGTTTAGTTCCATTTAAATCAAAGTAAAATAACCCCACCGTTTAGAAAACCATGCATTAAAAACCAACATATTCATAATCATATAATGTATGCTCAAAACCAGAGCTAAATCTGAAACCATAGTGAAACTTACAATTCAACCCATCCAAACCTTTTCTTATAAAACTCAAATCAAACTCTTGAAATACGTGATATATATATATATATATATATATATATATATATATATATATATATATATATATATATATATATATATATATATATATATATATATATATATATATATATATATATATATATATATATATATATATATATATATATATATATATATATAATATAAGAGATATAATATAAGTATACGACACTTCTAATTGTACCGGGGAAACAATCCAACAAGGGATTGTTGACTAGTCCACACGTAACAGCCCTCAAATGAACTATGTGGCTAGGGACGAGCCGTCCAACTGGGGGACTAACTCTCAGCCCAGCACGTACGAACGAAGAATCAAGACCCGTACGCCTGTAAACAATCCTACGCGCGCAGGCCACCCAATTAAGGGTCTATAGCAACATCCCGTCAAGGATGCCCCAAGTTCCGACATTTCCAAGTATCTCACATTTCCATAATCAAGTTACAATTTAAGGGGAGGTACACGGGGTAGTGCTTATAGCACTTCAAACCGACAATCTAAACTCACATCTTTCCACATCTCATAACAACAACCCCGTACTTCCCACACATAACCCACAAAGATAGGTAGCAATTTCTCAAATATCATTTGTATATACTCAAGATACTTAAAATGTCAAAACCCATATATATATCCCAAATACTTACCAAAATAATAGTTTCACTTTAAAGTATAAGGTGAATTTCCATAAACCCTTAAATTCTTATGCATAGAAATTTCATCATAAAAATCATGCTATTTATTTGAAAACAAAGTCCACTCACAAGTAGTCCCACGCTGCTTGACCCCGAGAAGGTCCCGCCTGCTGTGTATGCGGAATCGGATTACCTATTTCAGAATATGAGCACGATATTAAAATCAAACTCAGGTAAGCACGAGGAACAAAACGTTCCTAAGGTCCAACTAAGGGTTTCAAGTGCTGGGATAATCTTGGAAGACGCTCGGTCAACCGGGCAGTCAAGTACCTCACGGTCGGACGATTAACGTAAAACAGAAACTTTAAGTTATTGAATCGGAACATCCGGGGCTCCGATTCACGATCCGCGAAATCCTACACGATCCTAAGAATACAAGGAACAACATATAAAAATTGGAAGCGATCCAACGGTTCTAACATATCGAACCCGGATTAACGCACGATATGTAAAATTCATTCGGGGTTCAAACGTTATCCGAATTGAGATCCGTAAAATCCTACGCTCTCGTGACAACCAGGGGATCGCATTGGGACAAAATGCACCTCTGTTGCAGTGCCCATGCGCCGCCACACAAGCTGGCAGCAAGTGGGTGTCCAAAGCAATATCGCTTCGCCGGAAAATCTCAAAATCACGACTCAAGACTCCTACCCTAGCTAATACACCTAATTTGGAGTCACTTTTGTTCATGGGTTAGGGCCAAAAAGTGGCCGGAAGTGGCCGGAAATTCAACCCGAAGTCCGGCCAAACCTAAATTCAAAAATCGAACTATCAACGCTCAAAATCGTTCAAATCCTACCCAACAGGCAGCTAGAGCACGAAGAGTAGACAAAAATCCGTACCTCACTCGTCCAATTTGGTGGAGAAACGAGGGAGAACGAGCGACTCAAAGTTCTGTCAAGGTCGGTGGCTGTTTCCGGGCATCGCAAGCTCGGGGGAAGACGGCGAGGCTAGGCTGAGGGGTTTGGTGCCGGTGTCGGAGCTGCTAGTTGCCGGAGGTGGTGGCTGCATTGTGCAGAGGGTGGAGGGAGGTATCGGGGCACAGAGGGGGAGGGAGAGAGAGAGAGAGAGAGAGAGAGAGAGAGAGAGAGAAATGAGAGTTTTTTTTTTAATTTTAATAAAAATAAATTTCAAATTATTTACGATTGTGCCACTTAGGGTTTTTAGATCGTATCTTCTTCGTTTCAACTCCAAATCGAGCCCACTACGTGTCTACGGACTCGTCTCAGTACGATCTACCTAAAAATACTAATCGATGCCCCAAACTCTTCCCGTATAAAAATGACCCCTTTTTCTCCTACCCTCAAGGGTAAAATTGAAATTTCAGATTTAATTAAATTAAATTAAATTAATTAGGGAAAAAGTCTTAATTTTGGGTCGGCATGTTACATTAGTAGCAAAGAAAGACCAAGGCAAGTAGAGAGTGTGTGTGGACTACACCGACCTTAACAAGACGTGCCTGAAATCTTTTTTGGCCAAGCTTTTGGGAGCTCAATGCTCTTCCTGCGGCTGCCACAGTGGAGGACTTCTATTCTCAGCCATCCCCTTTTCTTTCTTTCCTCCCTTCTTTCATGGCCAGATCTGATGAAGAAAAGAAATTGGTATACATGCTAGTTCGAAGGGTGATTTCCCTCCTAGCAGTCTGCACGTCAAGATCCTTGGGTCTTTTAGGTGTCTTTGCTTGAAACTTGTTCCCTTTTCTATGTGCTGGAGCTTCCCAGTGGCTCTGCACATGTGGTCTTCCAAGCTCTTCCGTGGCTTTGTCTTTCAGCCAAATGCTGAAGCCTTTTCTGCTTCTTACTTCTAATTGTATGGGCTTTCTAAGATGGCAAGTCAACCTACCAAACAAATGGGCTAATCTCCTCAAGTTTTGGGCTATATTGGTTAATTTTAGTGGGCCATTTGGGTTGGGCTTTTTAGTTGGGATATTTTCTCTCTTGTGTTTATCCATATTTTTGGGCCTAAGAAATGGGCCTGAGTTCCGAGGCTCTCAACTGACCCGGAACCTCCAGTTCGCAGTCCATCAATAGGCCTCATGACAACTTATTACCATCCATACCACAACCCACTCAAGCAAGCCCCGAGCATTTGAGTGGCTTGGGCCCACTTAGGCTAGTAGCGTGGTTGGGTGTGAAATAATAATTTCCCGCTTGGCATGCTTTAATTTTATCGTCCTTGAAGAGAGACATGATGCTTGACAGGATAATTAGCATGGGGTCGTAGAGCTAGGGTATTTTATAAGCTCATCTCGATTCTTAGCATGACTGGTCATTTATTTGGCATGGCACGTGGATTATGGCTCGTGCGAGTGCGTGTGACGAATTTTTGCGTGCTCCCAGTCGGATATTTTCTTAATAAGGTGTTGTACTGGGCCATGAATTTATTCGGGCCCAACTGTGGATTTTTTAGGCCTCAACACTTGTAGATTCAATTTTTGATAATCAATTGCTAAGCTTCATGGACTCTTACTCTAGCTACAATCAAACCATGATGCATGAGGACGATAAAGCAAAGACTTCTTTCATAATTAAAAGAGGCACGTATTACTACAAAGTCATGCCCTTTGGGCTGAAGAACGCCGGAGCAACATACCAGAGGCTCATGAACAAGATTTTCAAGGAGCAGATCGGTAATACTATGGAGGTTTACATAGAAGACGTGCTAGGTCAAAGCTCCTCGACGAGCAAATCACATCAAGAATCTTGCTGAAGCATTCAGCTGCTTCAAAAGTAGTACATGAAGTTGAACCCGAGCAAGTGCACATTTGGAGTCTCACCTGGCCGATTTTTGGGATACTTAGTCACCCAAAGGGGCATCGAAGCACATCCCAATCAAATCAAGGTCATCTTCAACATGAAGTCCCCTGCCACAACGAAGGAGATAAAGTCTAACATGCAGAGTAACAGCTCTCAACCGATTCCTTTCAAAATCCACTGACAAGTGTATGTCATTCTTCAAAGCCTTGAAGAAATGACAAAGAGACAAGTGGGATGAAGAGTGCGAAGTAGCTTTCCAAAACTTGATGACCTACCTCACTTCACCTTCTATGCTATCAAAACCCATACCAAGAGAAGATTTATTCATTTGCTTGGCGGTGTCCAACTTAGTAGTCAACTCAACTCTCATCCGAGAAGAGCTGGGGGCATAACATCCAGTATTCTACACATCAAAAGCTCTTCTCAATGCAAAAACTCGCTATCCAAAAATGGAGAGACTCATTTTTTCCCTTCTAATTTTCGCAAGAAAGTTAAGAACTTACTACCAAGCTCACCGAATCATCGTCATGAGAGAATTTCCTTTGAGATCAATCCTTCATAGTCCCGATGCTTTTTAGTGACTCATCAGCCAAAGAAGAAAAGATGGTTAACATATTCAACGAAAGTTCAAAAGCAGAAGAGACCTCCTATGCCGAT